GGGGGGGCGGTAGAGAAGGCAGCAGGGGGCACTGAGGATGCCATGGCCCCTGGCACAGCTTTGTCCACATGAGAGCGGGATTCCTCACGCGAGCCCGTGCAAGTCACTGAACGTTGCTCTCCCTGCCGCACAGTGTCAGGCTGCCCCCAACTGGCCGCCTAACCCAGTGCACAGCCTGTGTGTGTTTGTTTTTAATTTGTCATTTTTATTGTTTTTTCTTTTTTGTTTTTTTAATCCTCACCCAACGATATTTTTCCATTGATTTTCAGAGAGAGTGGAAGAGAAAGGGAAAGACAGAGAGAAACATTGATGTGAGAGACACATATCGATTGGTTGCCTCCTGCATGCGCCCCGACCAGGGCCTGGGCCAGGGAGGAGCCTGCAACCGAGGTACCTGCCCTTGACCGGAATTGAACCTGGGACCCTCTATCCACTGAGCCAAACTGGCTAGGGCATTTTTTAAATTCTTGATTTTTAATTCTTTTTACATTAACTTTATTCTTTTTCTTAGTTTCTAAAGGAAATACTCCTCTAGCCTTGAAAACTGTACAGTAGGAGTGGGGAATGTCCTGCCCTCAGCCGTATGAGGCCCGAAAAATCATTGGGCCTGGCCCTCCAAGGCCTTAGGGGTGAGCTCATTCAATGTCTGACCAGATAGAGCAGGCTCATGTTGAAGTTGGCCATTTTGTAGGGCCCCCGAATGATGTTATAAATATCCCCATGGCCCTTGGCACAGAAAAGGCTCCCCATCTCTGATCTAAAGGCTTTGAGGTCATTCGTGAAGGTCAGGGTTTCTCAGCCTTGGCACTGTGGACATCTGGGTGGGATCACTCTTCCTCCTGGGGGCGATCTCCTGGTACATGGGGTGTGTAGCTCACGTTTATTGAGCACCTACTGTGTGCCAGGCGTGATTCCAAGTTCGTCTCAGATGAAACGATTAACCCCCAGGAAGGAGACTGAGCTGCTCCCTCTTTTACAAGGAGAAACCCAGGGTGTGGACCGGGTGCTGAGTTCCCCAAGTCACACCGCCAGCAAGTCAGAAAGCTAGGATTCCGGTCGGCCAGCTGGTTCCAGAACCTTCCTCTTTCCAATGTGGTGAAATCACTGTTTTATTTTGTGACAGGAAGCCCTTCGTTCCTGGAGTACACCCTACTTGGCTCGGACATCGTGTCCTTTTCCGTGTTGCTGAACTCAGGCTTAGTGCTGGGTCTGGTGGATTAGCATGCATCTCACCGAGGCCAGCTGGGCTGGGACGCTCCTTTTTTTTTTTTTTTTTTTTTGGTCTTTTTAAAAATACTTTTGTTGATTTCAGAGAGAAGAAGGGTGAGGGAGAGAGAGAGAAACATCAATGATGAGAGAATCATTGCTCGGCTGCCTCCTGCACGCCCCCCACTGGGGATCAAGCTCAAAATCTAGGCATGTGCCCTGACCAGGAATCGAACTGTGACCTCCTGGTTCCTGGTTCCATAGGTCAGCGCTCAACCAGTGAGTCACGCCAGCCGGGCTGGGATATTCCTTTCTGAATGTCCTCATCAGGTTTGGGGCTCAGTGTGGGGGTGTGCAGCAGGCAGCCGATCTATGGTTCTCTCTCATCATTGACGTCTCTCTCTCTCCCTCTCCCTTCCTCTCTGGAATCAAAAAAATAAAGCTGAGATGGCTGTACCCTCAAAGCTGTTTTCCATCCTGTGCAAATGTGGGTCTTCTGGGGCCCGTGTCTTCCCCATGCCCCCGCCCGCTTCCCCCCAAACCAGAAGCTGGTGGGGGGTGGGTGGTGGTCCTGCAGCTGATAAGGTGGTTGAGGCCCCGATGCCCCTTAGTGCCTGTGGCCGTGCCTCCACCTGCCTCAGGCTCACGCCCCGCCTTCCCTGTCTGGCTGCAGGCTTCTCCCACTCGGCGTTCACCTTCGGTATCGAGAGCCACATCAGCCAGTCGAACATCAACGGGACGCTGGTGCCGCCCGCCGCCCTCATCTCCATCCTGCAGAAGGGGCTGCAGTACGTGGAGGCCGAGATCAGCATCAACGAGGTACGTGCACCTTCCCCGGCGGGGCGGCCCCCAGCCCTCCCCCGGGTCCTGGGAGGGCTGGCCACAGGCCCCATCCTGCACGCCGGCCCTGAGGTCCTCGACGGGGTGGGAGAGTGTGGTGGCTTCACTGCAGGCTGCAGGGACGGCGGGCCTGGGCATACACACGGAGTGAGCTGTCCAGGCCCCGTGCACCCACGTGTTTTCCACACGCACACTCGGCTGGCCGGCTACTGAGCATCATGGTTTCCACATGCACACACAGATGGCCGGCTACTGAGCATCATGGTTTCCACATGCACACGCGGCTGGCCGGCTGCTGAGCGTCATGGCATCATGGTTTCCACATGCACTGGCGGGCTACTGAGCATCATGGTTTCCACATGCACACTCGCTGGCCGGCTCCTGAGCATCAT